CCCCAAAACCCCAAAACCCCAAAACCCCATGATGAAACATTTTTTAAGAGAGTAAGTTATAATATTCTGTTATTTGTATATTGAATATCGATCAATTACTCAGTGGAGATTCTTGCAAGTCGTCAATACTCTTATCTGCTGGAATATGCTGCTATTCAGAGACTGTACTCAATAATTTAAATCGCTTAAATATGGGGTAGCTTAAGGCATATATTGCTAAAGAAGCGTAAAATATTGGCACTAATGTTTTGAACACTATCAATATACCAAGATTGATTTTCCAAGGAAGGAAAAAAAATAATACTATTGCTGGAATTCCAATAACTGCTACTACAATATACCTTAGTATAAACTTCCACCATTATGATGTTTTCTAAACATTTTCACTGGTAGGGCCCATCAATTTTCTTGAAATAAATAATCCTATATAAGCTCCATAAAAAGCCACTGGTATTCCAGAATATACCACCTATTTGTAATTTAACGTGGAATTATCATTTTTTGGATCCTTACCACATTTTGTAATTATGTTAATAATCCATTTTGGATCAGGTGTAAATACTTTATCAACAATCAGAAAAGTGGCAATTTGAGACATGAATTCACAAATAAATACTACAGAAGCAACAGCAATGTATGAGAATATTTATCTTTTTCCTAAATTCATTTTATCTTCTACAATCAGTTTAACATTATTCATCATTGGCTCTCTAAGGCAAAAGTGAAAGTAAAAGGCTAGCCATATTCCAAAAGTCCATCCATAAATAATCTAGTTTATAGTGTGGGCATTTAAGTAAAATCTAGATATACCAATAGCAATGAATAATGATATAGCGAAGAATAAACTCGTATAGTAGCCAATTGAAGAAAATTTTTTCCCCTTGAATTAGCCATAATAAAAATCTAAAAACACGAACATATTATAACTTGCAGCAAACAATGAGTGCCCGCTCAGATTTCCATATTCTGTTGAACAACTCGAAGACCTCTTAATTTTATCATCAAACATAAAAGGTCTCGCTTCATGATATGCCATTTTTGTGATATTCATAACGAATAGCTCTGCTGAAAGAAAACTGAGATAGTAAAAAGATCTAGGCCTTCCTTCCCAGTTATGAATCAAAGCATATATTATGAAATACGGATAACCATCACCCCAAACAGATAATATTTTGAAGATTACAGTCCCTGCATCGTTCCATTTGTCTTATAGTTGTAGTTGAAGCTCAATGCTCCTATCGAAAAGTGGTTTTCTGTATGCAAATTCAACTCCTATTATTATCGCCAGACAACAATAATATAATAAGTGTTTGAATAGAATTTATTGCATATTGTTAAATCAATTAATTATTATTTAGATTATCCATAAAATTTCACTCATGGGGTTTTGGGGTTTTGGGGTTTTGGGG